CCTTTTGTATGGCTGTGTGTATTTGCATTTAGTGCCATAGTTGAACAACTTTCTAGATTTCCTATCCTATTAGAGTCATCGAACAAAGGATGGATGGCAGTGAAACCTGTACCTTAAATTCGTCGACTTCGAAAAGACCTTCCACCGACGGCATTGACCGAGGAGTTCTTTGGAAACCACTTCAATACTACTGAGTGCAATTTCCGAATCTTTATAACCTCATTTAACAGCTTCATGACAACACCAGGTGTCAGGTGATCCACAACGGGAAACTTAGCGAGGCTTTCGAAGTGAATACAGGAGTAGGACAAAGCTGCCCATTATCAGCAATGATATTCTTAATCGTGGTGGACTAGATGATGTGGAAGACTTTGAAGAGCGAGAAGATAGGAAAACGTTGGGCCGATTAAAAGACTGTAGAAGATCTAGATTTCACAGATGACATATGTATGATGTTACTCAAGCTCTAAGACTTACTGGCTAAAACCAACAAGTTAGCAGAAGAGGCTGGCAGCGAAGATACAATTCCAGGTGAACATAGAGAGGACAGAAGTGATAAAGATAATCAACTAACAGCAACAACAACGACCAACACCAATCACCATCAAAAAGAAAGACAGAGATCACTTCCTTCACTTATCTAGGAAGCACTGTTTCAACCACAGAGGGAACGCCTGTAGATGTCAAAGCCAACCAGATTCAGAAAGGCAAGATACGCCTTCATCAGTTTGAAGGTAGTTTAGAAATCTTCTGCACTCAGCCAGTCGCCATAAAGAAGAAGATTCGGATTCTATTCAACACAAATGTGAAGTCAGTCAGTTCTTCTATACAGGTGAGAAAAGTGTACTGAAAATCACGAAAACGATTTCCAACAAGTTAGACCTTTATCAATGGCTCCATACTAAATATCAGACGGATGCTCAGAAAGAATAAGCAACAGTAGACTATACGAACAAACCAACGAAGAGGGTACTGGTCAAAAAATATTCTGAAGGAAATGGAGATGGATCGGGCACACGACACTGAGGAGACTGTCGAACGACATCGCGTGCAATGCAGGCTATTGCTCAAGTGGAATCCAAATGGGAAGCGAGGAGTGGGTTATCGTTGTGAGTTTGACATGGAGGAAACAGTGTGGGGAGGAGTATATGAGAGATTATGGGCAATCTTAAACCCAGATGAAGAGGACAGCAGAAAGTAGAACAAAGTGGAGATGTGCTGTTGAAGCCTTATGTTCCACTCGGAAACCAAGGGACTAATATTTAGATTTTGCTGGGTTTTGTGCTCCATTGGTCTAAATGATCCTATTCTTCTACCTTGATCTGTGTATTTCACCTGACAACCATTGAAAGGTACCAGATAAACTAAATTATTTTGTTTCATTGGTTCCATAGGATCCTTACAGAAGTTCTTTCGTTGTATGGAAGTACTACTGGTTAACAACAGAAGACAAGGGCCAGGCAACAGATCCTTTTATTATGAAAATCAACACGTATTTATACATATTTCACATACATTATTATAGACAAGCGCAGTCATCTGATTGGTTGTTTATCAGAAGTTAGGCAGACAAACGCAGGCTTCTGATTGGTTGTTTCGGGATTCCTTGACAAATAGAGTTCTCTATCTGCGAATCATATTTTGCCACGTTAACTTTGCTGTGATTGGTTGTTGACTCAGCCTTGTTCATATTTTCTCACGGCCCATATTAACGTAGCTTAGTGTCAACCAATCGGCTAGCAGCCTGCTCTCACCACACTGGTATTTGAAATTCCTTATTGTTAGGGTTGTTATCTTTCTGTGTATTTTTGTCATGTATATCGTCCTTGCTATTATGATTATTATTAATTTTACTTTTGCATCCTTCTACATACCTCCTGATTAATTTATCGGGGTGATTATTAAGTTTTAAAGCTTCTGCTATATGCGTCACTCCCTGTCTTAGATTTCCTTTGGCGCTATTTTTACTAACATAGGATGGGATGATCCAAAATCCAAATATCTGTTTGAATGAATGGGTTTTCTGTAAATACATGTGTTTAACCTCCTATCTGCTTTCCTTTTAATGCGACAATGTAACATTAGAAGTTTCCCTTCATGACCTTCCAAGTGATTAGTAAACTGAATTCCCTCTAACCTGCATTATATATTTCCAATAAATAAATTAACATGGAATCACATAATACCACAGGTGCCCAAGTTTTACACATATTTGAGGTTAAGAACCATGGGTAAAAAAATTAGACAAATTAAATTTATGTGAGAGTTCTCTGTATGACACTGAACAACGACACGCATTTACCACTAATACGTGCTTAACTATTCATCTTTTAGGGGGCATTTTAAAGTCTTGATAATTACACTAAACATCACAACAGTAGTAGTTATGTAGTCATCAGTGGAAATCGATCTCTTCTCAAAGAAATGCTGTCAAACAACTGCTTAAGACAAAGGAAAAGGATATCAGATGAGGTATATAATATTATGAAATTGAAGGATACCATTACTTCCTGGTCATCTATTTGAGTGCCTTTGATTTTTTCTAGAAATTGGACTGCAGATTTGATGGAATGATCGCAAGAATCCGTTGAGTGTTTCAATTTTCTGTATAGTTCTTTGGACAAATTGTATGTTGAGGTTCCGGGGAGTGATAAAATTGGTTGTAACGGGATATTTGATTTGCGTATTTTTGGGCTGTCGTAGAATCGAAGTTAGACTGATCCCCTGGATTTCATGCGCCATTGGTCTTGTCTCATGATCTGACCTGTTTTAGTGAGGTCATTGAAGGTTATTTGGATGCCACTGACTAATGTATGGATGGAATTTGTCGTGATTTGTTAATATGCATCTCCACTTTTGAGTAGTTCTTCAGCTTTCTTGGTGTATTCTTGTTTGGCCATTACTGTTTTTCTTCCCTTTTCAACTGGTAGTATAACGAAGTCTTCCCTAATTCTCAGCTTTTTGAGGGCCTTTAACTTTTGAACTTTGAGTTATGTGTGTTGTTTTTTCTGTTTGACCATCGGTACGATTGTTTGGCGTATCTCTTCGTCTCTTTCCTCGTTTAAGTGTGATGATTCAAGGGCAGCGAAGAAATCAGTTTTTGAAGCGTCTTCAATGTTGTAGTTTAATCCTTTTTGTAGCAGTAGTTGTTTCATTTTTGATAGGTTGACTACGCGGAGCCAATAGGTGTATCGTCTGGTTGTTGTTTTCTAATTTTGTCTAGCTTGGTTTTGATAACTCTGCGTCTTTGTTGTCTATGTCTTCTACTCAACAATGTGATTGTGGCGATCAGCGTTGACAAGTGTTCCTGATCAAGGGTTTCTGTAGATTTTCTTCTTTTTGGACATCCATTATTTGTTGATATTTATTGGTTCTGTGATCATTAATTTGATCATTCGTCTTTTGGCTATTTTCCATCCTGTTGGGCAGTTGACTGGTAGGTTGTGTCTGACGCGTCAGAACAGAAATCAACAGCCTATGGTTGGCATGAGTGAATGAGTATGCCAACAGTGCATACATACTGAAGGCACTACTAAAGCTATTGCTACTATTTCTTTGACATGCATAGACATGTTTCAGTCAGAAATGCACTTGAGTGCTCTAGATAAATATTTTATACACTGAATTTTAGATTAGTATATATATATATATATATATATATAAATTGCTAACCAGTGAAAAATGTGAAGTAACATTATTTACAAGTATTGATTTGCATGAATTTTGTTTGATTGGTTGGAGGATTTCATCATCAGCTGAAGTCGGTTAGAGAAACATTGAAAAACCTGAGAGTACTGGACAGCTGCTTCATCAGCCTTGCTTGGGACTCTTCAGCAGTACGATCTATTCAGGCAGTTACCCGGGATTCTAGGTGGAAACCATGACCAGTAGGGTACAGCAGGTCAAAGATGCAAACAGTTAATCACCAAAGACATTGCGAAGTGATCGCGCTATGTCGTGAATTGGTAGAAGTTAGAATTCGTGGACTGGCCATGATCTGGTCTTGTAATCAAAAGGTGCTGGGTTCGAGCTCTGATTGTGAGTGTGTACAAATGAAGGGTCCCGAACAAGGCTGATGGAATATCTGTCCAGTAATCCCTGGTGTGGTTCTCCAATGGTTCTCTAACTAATATTGTGGTGAGAGCAGACTGCTAGCCAAATTGGTAGACAATTATTTACGTCAATGTGCACGACCCAAATATTGGTTGTGAGAAAATATGAACAAAGACTGATTCAACAACCAATCAGAGCAGACTTGGCGTAGGCGGATACAGTTAACATATAGATGATCTGACATTCAAGAAACAGCCAAAATGAGATGGAAGGTTAACTTTCTGTGAGAAACAACCAATTAGGAGACTGTGTTTGTTTGCTTGAATAAGTTATAATGATGTACATGAAAATACATAAATACGTGTTGATTTCCTTAATAAACGATTTGTTGCCTGACTCTTGCCTTCTGTCGTTACAATATTATTTAGCTGTAATGCACTCAAAATATTTAAGGGGGATTCACTCCTTACATGAGCGGCGAAACAAGATGGAAAAAACAGCACAAAGAAGGGCCGCGGCACCGACCAAGGAGGGCAGGGGAGTAAAGTAACATGGATGCAGGCGAAAAGTATAGCAGAAGACAGAAGAAAATGGAGACGTGCAGTTGAAGCCCTATGTTCCACTAGGAACCCAAGGGTGCAATAATAATAATAATAATGCTAATGCACTTTTGATTTTCTCGTTTGTTAACTAGACAGAAATGTTCAGCTTCAGGTTAATATGTCAGCTCCTTATGCAAATGCTTAGACGATGCCCAAGGATTAACTTGAAGTCATTGTGGTGAATGTTGACTAGCAGTGGAATCCAAATAGAATGAAATGTGCACCGTAGATTCAACTGTTAGTCACCAGTATCCCCTAAATTACTTAAAGTAATATTTATTTAATTTTTTTCTATAGGATAAATGAAACTGCACTGTTAAAATAATTTTATCGGACAAAACTTACAAGAGCAACAGTTTGACCACTTGGTATTTTAAATGACACATTCTTTATAATAGGACGTCTAGATTAGAAAAAAGGAAATAAATGAAATTTCAAATAAAAATATTTTATAGATTAACACAACAAATGAAAGAGTAAAAATTGTTCGAAAAATTTATTGAGTGAGATTAACACGTTGGTATAAAATGTGAAAGTTATGTTGTTAAAACTTTTGGAGATCTAAGAAGACATAGACACCTTCAGTTGAAAATCAGATTCCATCGAATATTTATAGGTGAATTGGTGGATGTAGTTCAGGATGCGCATTTCGCCCTACTTGGGACTCGTCATCTGGACGTGTATATAGGTGATGAATATGTACAGGAATATGTAGGTGATTCAAAATTTTCTAACATTAAATGTAATTACATGAGCTACAATAATAATTCACAACATTAATCAGGTTAGGTATAGAGTGTTAGGTAGAGGGTGGGGTGAGTCAACCGATCAAGTTTTGAAGCCAGACTGCTGAACTTGCAGTCTTCTTTGGTTAGCAAATGCAGTACACCTTTCGGTGTTTTAGGTTTTTTATTGTTAACGTGTAGCCATATGGACTGGCTCAAGTGCCATTATGAGCTCTTCCGTTGTGCTGTCAACATTTCCAAATTTTTGAAGTTTGTAGTTCAGCCACGACTAGTTAGATAAGTTCCAAACTTTTTTTTATTCAAATATATTACTCACCAGAGGACATCACTAATTAATTAAGTCTTCTTGATTTGCATTTTGTTATCAGTACTAACAAGTTAGATAGAGTACTGATTTATTGGCTAATTAGGTAAACTACGTTAAGTGCGTCGGTGGCACAGCGGTTAGGATGCTCGCCAACCATGCACATGGTCCGGGGTTCGATCCCCTACCGACGCACTCCTTTACCTCGCTAAGCTTGAAATAATGCTGGTAAAGAGGAAAGGTTGGGCATGAGGCTAGCAACCCCATCCTCTAAAAATAAACACTGCTACAGAAACTTCAAGCCAGTAGCTTGAAGCCCTATGTTCCGCTGGGGAACGTGAAGGAAAAATTATTATTTTACGTTAAGTAGGGGCTGGTGTTGTGTGTAGCCCAGTAAAAGCACCATTAGTAACCTACAGGATTTTTATCTAAGGTGAAATTAGGTCAATGGAGTTTTAGGAGTGGTCATTCCAAAACATGGCAGCAATTCATGAAGATTCTTGGCCAAAAGCGACAACAACACACAACAATCAGTTAGCATAAATGGGAGAAATCTGAAAGAAGCAACCTCCTTTAGCGCCTACCTACCGACCTGGGAAGCATCGTTTCAACTACAGGTGAACAGAACTGACGAGGATATCAAAGCAAGGATCGGGAAAGCAAGACAAGCTTCCACTACTCTCAAGTCTGTGTGGACATCCACAGCACTCAGAATGAAAAACATGATCCGGATTTTCAACTTCAATGTGAAGTCAGTCAGTTCTACTACACGAATCAGAGACTTTACGTCGCGCCGGGTCACGAAGGGCACTTCAAACAAACCACACATCTCCATCAACAGCCATCTTCACTCAGTACTCAGGGTCAGCTGGCCAGCCAGAAAAGATCAGCAACAGGGATGTCTGGAAGCAAACCAACCAGGAACCGATTGTGCAAAAAATATGCAGGAATAAATGGAGTTGGATTGGCCATACTCTCAGAAAACCATCAAGTGACATCACATGCCAGGTCATCGTTCGAATGGAACCCGAATGGGAAGCGGTGAGTTAGTCGTCAGTGAGAAGGTGCTCCGATGAAAGGAGATGAAAGCATGTGGTCAGATGTGGTTCCAGGTGAAAACGTTGAAAGATAACCGGACCCAATGGAGATGTGAGACAGCCCTATGTTCCTCTATGAACCAAAGAAAACAATAATGATTATAATGTTGCTTTGCTCCATCTGCAGAGATATAAATTACCTGGCTAAGATGCTAAGAGTTATGTGTTAGAGGCAGTTAATGAAATGGCTCAAAATCTTTACCAGTGGTGTAAATATTTTCACTCCTTATCATAATCAAGATTGTAAGACTCCTCACTAGTCATCCCGTGGCTATTCTCTCTCGCTCTCTGATGTATTTCTTCATTCATTATTGGTTTCATCTCAATTTTTTTCTACTCTGCTCTAAAGTGTTCTATTATAAAAAGTGTAGTAATGTAAAATGCTGCACTCTTGTGCAAAGTTCTACCGACAATGATAATTTCATTCTGTTTACATATTCATTCCATGTTCCAAAATATTTGGCAAATAAATTTTTGAAGCATACAAGTTAAATAGCAGATTAATAATGCATTATTCAAGTACATTTGTAAAATTATGCAGTAAAATAGTCATTCAGTCACTCAACAGTTCATAGTACAATTTCAAATCTTCTTTCTTCTTAACTCAATTAGTATGTTATTAACAACTTATCAACTTTGATTATTCACTGCATTCCATTTTAATATTCATCTGTTTCAAAGTTTATTCAATACACAATACTGTCTCATTTCTGTCTAGTTCGTCTCATAATTACATATATCAGTAATCCCATAAAATATTGCATACTGTTATGATGGACTGTTATTGTGGACGTGGAGTTGTCTAACTTGACTAGGATGAAAAACCACACCAAGGAGTACTGGACAGCTGTTTCACCAGCCTGGTTTGGGACTCTTCATCAGTACGCACCCACCGCCAGGGTTCGAACCCAAGACCTTCTGGTTACAAGGCGAGCTCGTATACCATTAAGCTACTAGGAAACGATCCAATGGCTAGCCAGCCCATGAATTCTAACTTCTGCCAATTCACGAAACAGCGCGACCCCTAACCAATTCATGGACCATTGGATCGGGTCCCAGTGGCTTAATGGTATACGAGCTCGCCTTGTAACCAGAAGGTCCTGGGTTCGAACCCTGGCGGTCAATGCGTACTGATGATGAGTCCCAAACAAGGTTGGCGAAACAGCTGTCCAGTTCCATTGGTTCTCTAACTAATGTCACCTCGTGACCAAATCCTGTAACCAATCAAATCCCTACAAACCAACACTTGACTAGAATGTGTCTTCAGACACAACCCTATAATAACCAACTAATCACTTGCAATTATCTCCCACATCAATACAGACAGAGAAGTCAGATTCAACAGCAAAAACAACGTCAGCGTTTTATTATTCATAACTGTTATTATTCCCTTAGGCTCTGAGTAGAACATAGAGCTTTAGCTGCACATCACCAATTTGTCCTGTTCTTTGCAGTTCCCTTTCAATTGCCCCCACGATCTTCTTTATGTCACACTCGGACAAACTCCCAACTCATTGCTTCCAATTAGTATCTTGCTCGACCAACTGTCTAGCTCATTATGTCACCCAACACTTTCCTTAGGGATTTTTCCGATCCATCTTCAATTCTCTAGGGATATTTGTTGAGCAATATACTCTTGATTGGTTGGTAGTCACGACTCCTCGTTGCTTGTCTTTTCTGGTCATTTGATCTTCAGTATAGAGCCAGAGAAGGTAACAGCTGTCGATAAATGTCTGTGGTAATCTGTTGGAAATACTTTTCGCGACTCGTCCTCCGGCTTTCCGACCCATACAGAAAAAAATGACTGACTTAACATTGGTTTTGAAAATCTAAAGTTTGCTCTTTATGCTGAATGCAGCAGACCTACAAATCGATTTCAGACTGATGAAGGTATGCCCCGCCTTTTCGACTCCAGTTTCTACTTCTTCATCGTTTACTATCTAGATAAGTGAAGGAAGTGTCCTCTTTCAAATTTCTTTCGCTGATTGTAATTGGTGAATATATATATATATACATATTCAAAACCTCAGAAACTTGAGCCATAAATAAACCAATCAAAGACTGTCCAATCAGATCATTATTTCAATACATGCATAAATTATGAGTCCACGGCTAATAAGGACAGGCATATTAAACTATATCTGTCAATCTGGTTTTGAATATTTAAGTATTTCCCACAACAACAACAACAACAAAACGACAATTCGTAAACAATCACTTGCTAAAATAAGGTCATGTAATTTATTTACCACAAAATACCTACGTAGTATAAAACAAACTAAATTCAACTGAATATCATCATACATAACACACAATGTATATGTTTTGTGCATCAAAATAGACACTTAATAACTACAAGCTACTAATTACTCCGCTCACATTCCAAACAGTTTCAGTAACACTACACATACCGACGAAAAAGTACACACACACACAGAAACGTACGCACATTCAAAAAACTGGATTAGATACCAATGTCAATTAAACAAATTATGAGTACAGAAATCTAATGTTAACATGAAATCGGTATTCATTGATTTATATGTTATTGACCTTTCTAAATACAAACATATTATAACATGACCACTGAGATATATGCTACACACAAATAAATGTATACAGAAACCGGTAAAGGAAGACATTACAAGAAAAAAACATAAGGGATAATTCACGTGAAGTACATTTAGGCTGGGAGAGACTTAGCTGCGGATATCCTTAAGAGGAGAATCCCCAGTTCCTTAAAGAAGACCTCTCCTGCAGTCGCCCACTGCTTCGGAGCAATGTGAAGGCTAAACTTTCGCATATAACCACTCCAATATGCATATATCAGTTCACCCCCTCCTGCTCTGCTAGATACATAGGTCATTCTATGCGGCTCCTATCCAAAAGTGTTCGAGAATATAACACCTAGTATAGCTACAAAGAGGAGGCATTTGGCTCAATCAGAAGCGCCATAAATGAACGCCTCGTCAACACCTGTGACAGCATCTCAACTAACTCATTATTCAGACTTATTTACAAAGTAAAAAAGAATCTACCAAAGGCAGTGTGTTTCCGACTTCTTTGTATTGCAGAAGTCCTTGTCATATGCGACGAAAAACCGGAGCTGTGCATTCAAAAGAAATTAGTCCAACCTCTACATTTACGCTGGATGTAGTTGGATTTGTTTCCTTAAGTGTCGTTGTTCCATCCCCTTCATTATTTTAATTTTTTTCATTTTCAGTTATAAACTATAATTATTTCAGTTTGTTTCCAT